GATGGGCGTAACTTAGAGTAAGCAGCACGTATAGCTCAGGGACTTAGTACGCTGTGCGTACCAGGATGGTACACAAGGTGTACGCACCTCAGATGGGCTCGATCTTGTTTTGGGCTTTAATTAGTCATTAGGCCTGGTCACGTTTTAAGTTAGTGGGCCAACTTATCTATATTGGGTTATGGATACTATGGTTGGGCTTTATTGGACCAAGAGTCCCATTAATGATTTTGGACATGGACTTTGGGCCCATTAGCAAAGAAAGACTTTTTGGGCCATTGTGAAAAGGACTTGGGGTTTGGGTTCTTCAACTGGATTGTGTTCAGCTCTAACCTAGGGTAATGAAATTATTGTTCAGCATGGGTGGTTACAGACTATTTGGAGAGCAACTTTCGTATTCAACAGACAAATGTGAGTCTCCTCACCATACCAATGGGCCGAAGGCACCAAGGCCGACCCATTTTATGATATATGGTACACTAGCTGAAGTTGTATTATGTGGAATGATAGTTGGTTATGTGCTAAGAAGTATGCTAGTTGTATATGTGGTATAGAAGACCATGGGAGAGCCCATGACACCTGGATATAAGACCATGTGGAGAGCCCATGACTTTCCTATTAAAGAACATGGGAGAGCCCATGACACCTAGATGTAAGACCATATGGAGAGCCCATAACTTTCCTATTAAAGACCATGGGAGAGCCCTTGACACTTAGGTGTAAGACCATGTGGGGAGCCCACGATATCCTGGAGTAAGACCCTAGGGTGGGCATCCCATATGTTGTATGTATGGCTTATGTGGTTTATGTAGCTTTTATAGCTAATATGATTATGTGGATTGTGTGTCATATGCTCTTTTGAACTCACAAAGCATTAGCTTACAGTTTGTGGATTTGTTTCAGGTACATCTGAGCCTAAGAGTCAGGGCAAGACTTGATGACGTGACATGCATTCTCTCTCAGGTGTTTGTATGAGACACTCTGATGTTTGGAATAATATTGTTGATGTTATGAATTTGAAGACAAATGTACTTGAGATTTTATAGTTTGTTGGAAATGTTTTTGACTATTTAAAAATGAAAAAATCATTTTGAAAATTGGGTCGTTACAAATGTGTAAAATTAGAAAATGAAAAACAAATTTGTTTATATATGGGGGACCACTCTCGGTCAAACACTTCGACCCATATCGAGATTTTCATAACTTATGTAGAAATTTTGACAGACCATTCAGATTTTTGTAGGTATGTTGGGTCCAAATACACATTTTCATAGACCATCAAGATTCTCTATAAAACGATGGCAGTAAGATAATTTTTAGGTAAATTTTTGAAAATGATTTACGGATTTAGCCTGATATTTTTCGCCGCATTATGGCCTTTATTATAGGTTACCTATAAACCACTAGTTGGTTAATAAGGTTTTGATGAAGTTACCCATGGCTGTTATGTAAAAATCTAATAGAATTTAATGAAGCAACCCATGACTGCTTTTTATTTTGGGTGTGGTAGTGGTACCCCTGTATCTCTGTCTTAATTATGAACGACTATTTTATAAAATTTATATAATAGAAAACATGGTGTATGATCACTGTGAGTGGTGTTCCTACCACCTATAATTGAAATGTATATGTGCCTCTATGTGTTTGTGTGTATCTATCTAAATATATATATATATGTATATTGTATATGTTTTTATTTGTATAAAGGGTGATCACATGCAGCAAAGTCAGCAGTTTCATATGGTACCAAGCAAAAAAACCTGTTGTCCCCATGTGCATATGAATCTATAATTCCCACAATCTCACATGTTCCCTAAAACAACCCCTCAACTAAGATGTCACTACTGATTTCAACTCAACTCCACAAGAGTTGAATATTTGAACACGTTATTACATAAAAGACTTATTTTCGAATTATATTTGTATCCAGTTTCTTGTCACTCTATGTATGATCAGGTTTTGCCACAACCAGGTCTCATCGTTTCAAGGAGCCCAAATTTTATAAGCTATGTAATTTTAATATATAAACATTAGTCTATTTTTACAAAAAAGAAAAAGAAAAATCACTGGAAGCATGAAGAAGAAAGAAACAATATCATACTTATAACAATTGTTGTTCATAAACAAGGTGGGTAGGTGCAATCAAAATGGAGAAAAATCGAATTGACTAAATGTAAATTGACCATCTATTAAAAAAATGATATGTTGATTATGTCATCTTAGTTCCTAAGTGTTAACTGCATGCCGGAAAAATTACATTACGTCGAAAAATTTCAAAAAGAATTACAATGTGCTTTAAAAATTGAGGGGTTACACCCCAGGAACCCTTATGTCGGCCACTGGTAAAACCTATAGAGAGAAGTTTTTTAAAGTTAAAGTTATAAAAGAAATAGATCATTGATATTATAAGAAATGTTGAATGATTTGACTACTTTATGGACGAATAAAGATACGGTATATATAGATTGATATTGTTACTACTTTTTTAGGATGGCGAAGAAAATTGGTTTCCTTTGATTCGAGCTTATGACCGACTAGATAGAAGGCAAATGACAAAACCTCTAAAACAATATATATTTTTTTTATCTTTATATTATTGTTAACGATTATATATCTAAAAATAACTATAAGAAATATTTTTTTAAATTAGTGAATTTTGTAAAGTGTTTGACTATATATATGATATTTTTTTGTCTTTTCGTTTTACGCCCAAAATATGTTTGGACTCGGTGTTTTATTTGAATATTTATAACAAAAAGTTATAGATTATAAGTATGTTAATAACTTTATATTTTCAAAATTTTCTATTTGAATTTAAATTTTCCCTGTTTTAGAATTAGAAAAAAGCTCTCATATTTTCCAACTTTTTTGTTATACTATATTATTTGATGCAATAAATGAACAAAATATGAGAAAAATTATGGATTTACAGCAATGAATTTTGAATGAATTTTTGAAAATCAGTTTGCCGTAAGATCAATTGCAAAAGTCAACATTATGAACAATATAAATATCGAATTAACCTAAACTTTAGCAAATCTTATGAAGTAAATTTCTTAATCTATACAATCAGTCATCATAAGTTGTATTCATAGACATGAGCGATACATAATGATTTAATCGAACATCTAATAAACCTAATAAACAGCATGTCGAATGTTTCGACCATGTATTCCACATTGTTACAAAATCTATTTCAAGTTCTTACCATAAGGATTAATTCGATTAGATTTTTTTTAGTAAAGGTAACACTTGTATCTACATGTTTCAAGTTTAGAGTTTTGGGTACATAAATATTATGGATCCAAAGTTTTAAAATATATAAAATTACATAAAATGATTTATGTAAAACACATTGTTGAATTAAAAGAAAAATATAATAAATTCAATTTATAAACCAATAAAAGAGTTCTTTATAAAATACTTTTTTATTAAATAGTTTTAAAATTTAAAACTTTTTTGTTTTAATTTAAAATCAGAAGTTTTACTTATGGTTGTTAAAATTTCGATCTTGATCTTAATATCTTACGATTTTAAGATCCTACAAGCAAAAAATGATTACGATCTTGTTAGAATGTATTTGAAATAAAATTTATAGTGAGATCTTAGGATCCTGATTATGAGATCTTAATATGATGCGATCTCATCTCTTTAGTTTTATTATATAGTCGAACCTAAAAAAATATTATATTCAATTTGAAATCAAGCATTGCAAGTTGCAAAATCCTATATTATAATTACTTTATCACTTCATCTCGAATCACACAAGTTATACTCATGATATCCCATTCCTGACATTAAGTCTTTAATTGTATGATCTTATTTATTTTTGTAATTAAAATGTTTTTTTTTTCCTTATTTACGGTTTGTAACAATAAAACTATGGTTAATGTTTAGAAATGTTACATTGACTCCATTTTGAGGTCTTAATCGACATCAAATTATAACGTATACTACACGTTTAAAATATTACGAATAAATTTAAATAAAAGTTCATTTTGATACGATATTTCGATCTCAATCTGAACTTACGATTACGATCGTACAAAACATAAAACAATTTTATATAAGATCCGATCTTTAGATTTTTACTACAATTGATTTTTCTATATATATATATTTTATATTGAAACTATAAACTCTAAAAATGGATGGGGAAACGAATATGTAAATTTTGAAGAATATGTTAATTGTTTTGAAAATTAAAGGAATCTAATTTGGAAGTTATTTTCGTCGGTGGTTGAATTGGCGGTGGGTCCACATCAACTTGCTCCTCGCTGTATAACTTCTGTCGGCAGTCTCACCATTCCCCTTCTCCTTCGCACCTATAAATTCCACTTTCTTCCTTCCCAATTCTCACCATTCCCCTTCTCCTTCTTCCCCAAATCGCAAGATCCCATTGCCAATCAACGCAAGGTAACCTTCATTTCTCCTACTCTCTTATCATCCAATTCAATTGCATTAACATCTCTATACTTCTCCATGATTCTAGTCCTAGATCTTACTTTTAAGTTACTTTTCCTCTTTGGCGTGTGATTATTTTCTCAGATTAGATCTAGATCGAATCACATCCATCTGTTCATTCATGCTCTGAAAATTCATAGGAGAGAATCTGGATGTTTCGAACATTATATTATTATACACTTTGACTTCATCATAGATCCATTTGAATAATAGAAAGCATTTAAATCAGATAAGCTATATACGACCTACAACATTATCCATTTAGCTGCAAATTGGAACTATTGAATAGCTTACAGAAACAAAACGATTAAGCTTCTAAGATTAGCTTCATTCATTAAATAGAGATGTTTATGTTTATGTTTATGTAAATCTCATTTGTTCCAGTTTGAGAGATGGAGACCTTCCTTTTCACATCCGAATCTGTGAACGAAGGACACCCAGACAAACTCTGTGACCAAGTTTCAGACGCCATTCTCGATGCATGCCTTGAACAAGATCCAGAAAGCAAAGTCGCCTGTGAAACATGCACGAAAACCAACATGGTCATGGTCTTCGGTGAAATCACCACCAAAGCCACCGTTGACTATGAGAAAATAGTCCGGGATACCTGCAGAGAGATCGGATTCACATCCGCCGACGTCGGACTCGACGCCGACAACTGCAACGTTCTAGTCAACATCGAGCAACAAAGCCCGGACATCGCTCAAGGTGTCCATGGTCACCTCACCAAGAAACCAGAAGAAATCGGCGCCGGCGACCAAGGTCACATGTTCGGCTACGCCACCGACGAAACCCCGGAGCTCATGCCACTCACTCACGTCCTCGCAACCAAACTCGGCGCCAAACTGACCGAAGTCCGAAAAAACAAAACTTGCCCATGGCTCCGACCCGATGGGAAAACCCAAGTCACCGTTGAGTACCACAACGACAACGGCGCGATGGTTCCGACGAGGGTTCACACCGTGCTAATCTCCACCCAACACGACGAAACAGTCACCAACGACCAAATCGCCGCCGATCTAAAAGAACACGTCATCAAACCAGTCATCCCATCTCAATACCTCGACGACAACACCATCTTCCATCTCAACCCTTCGGGGAGGTTCGTCATCGGTGGTCCCCACGGAGACGCGGGTCTCACCGGCCGGAAAATCATTATCGACACGTACGGTGGATGGGGAGCTCACGGCGGAGGTGCTTTCTCCGGGAAAGATCCAACGAAGGTGGATAGAAGTGGTGCTTACATTGTGAGGCAAGCAGCGAAGAGTATTGTGGCGTCGGGACTTGCACGGCGGTGTATTGTTCAGGTTTCTTATGCGATTGGGGTGGCGGAGCCGTTGTCGGTGTTTGTTGACACGTATAAGACCGGGAATATTCCGGATAAGGATATTCTTGTTTTGATTAAGGAGAATTTTGACTTTAGGCCAGGGATGATGGCTATTAATCTTGACTTGAAAAGAGGGGGAAATTTTAGGTATCAGAAAACGGCGGCTTATGGGCATTTTGGTCGTGAAGATCCGGATTTTACATGGGAGACTACCAAAATTTTGAAGCCCAAAGCTTAATGGATTCTTAAGAGCTTAAGAGCTTAATGGATTCTTAAGAGGTAAACATTCATAATTTATGAGTTTGTATGATTGTTTTGTTATTTGTTTTTGAATTCTTTGTATTTGTTTTTAAGCGTTAAGCATTTTGTATTGTTTTTTAAACTAATAAGATAAATCAATGGATACAAAATTTGAAAGAAGCCGAAAACCGACATGATCATCGATGAAACAATGTAAGCAATATAACAACCATTTGCAGACAGGGAGGTGCACTCTCTGATTAAGCGAGAGTTTGATACACTTGTCACCATTTAACATGGATAGTATAATAGGTTGGAAGAAAATACAGGAGAATATTTAATTTTTCATTTACAGGATATCAGATCTTGCTCGCCTGTATTATAACGTTAGAGGGATATAAAATTATCCATTGTAATCATTGAAGTCAACGTGCATCTCTAACCGTCAATTTCTCTAACAATATTCCATGATACACACATCATAATATCACGTCAGACTAGAAAATTTGGTAACATATATTTTGAATCCATAAAACATATTTAACATCTATGAAATAACATAAATATGGATATCACATCAACACCTCACATTAATATCATATCGAGCATTCATTAGCACATCCAACATCATAAACATCATATATCATTATGTAATTGTTAGATCAAAGAAAGTGATGTTGATTCTTCCTGAAAATACTCGAGAAATGATTAAGTAATGTAGTTAGACTTATTTACATCTATGCGACATGGTCAACGAATTTTTTCATAATGTATTTTTGTTTTGATAGTTTGTAATGTCTATTTAGAACTTCATTACAAGTTAGTAATTCCTAGTTATTTAGATTTTTATTTCCAACCATATATTGTAGGATTCGATAACAACATGTTCATTAATTGTACTTATCAAATTTTCCTTCACAATGCATTGTACTTTGATAGATTCCCCAAATTATCGCGTTGTACTTATAGTTTTTCACCGTATGATGCTCTATTTAACAAACATTTCTTTCTTTTAATTCAAATCTCCTTTTTTATTACTGAAATTTTAATTTTTATTTATTGTTACCTATGTTGCATTATGAAAAGAGCTTAAGTTTCTCCATTCAAACATGGTAATCAAAAAGGTTGAAATCCTTTTATAATAAGATATAGTGAAAATTATTGGAAACAATAATACACGCTTCTATTTTTAAAGATATAGAAAATATAATTTAATTTTTACCTACTATAGCAATGTACTTACGGTTTTCTACCAAAAATTGCAAAATATATTATGAAAATCCAGTCAGAGGTAACTATTTGCATTTTATTTTTTCAAGTTTTTTGCTTATAAGGCAATATTTGAAGATTCGACAATTGTTTGTATTACTAATCAAAATGAGAATTGCTTGAAGATTCCACTCGTAAATAGAAATAACTATTATTTGTAAAAATGTAAGTACATTGCTATTAATGTAAGTGAACATATAAATGCATTGATATTATTATAAAATAAACGTAATTACAAAAAATGTAAGAACAATGTTATTATTTGTAAAATAAAAATGTCATTAAGTTAAATAAAAGTAAACAAATACCCAAGATGCCAACAAAATAAACTTGTGTTTATTAACTTAGATAACAATTTATCCAATTAAATGTTTTTTTGGCATTTTGGGTATTTGATAATAAAAGTGACCAGATACGCCAAAAATATTAGACTTTTATTTATTTAATTGCATACTAACTTACAATAATCTTCATATAACAATGCCAATGCTAATGGAAGATAATTGGAAGCGTCTTTCTTGCAGTCTTCCCTCAACTATATAATTTGGAACACTATACTAATATATAAATTCCAACATTTTTTTTTCAACTTACCAACAATCAAGATGACATCCAACATGTCTTACATTTAGACTATAAGAAACAAATATGTTCAAACATTAATTAGATAATCTTGATGTGTACCTTGAAGTTGGTGTTTCCAATCTTATCATCTGGATTAGTGAACCTAGCCACAATAACTAAAAAACAAACCAAAAAAGCTATGTTAAGCGAAAATGAGAAACAAATAAGAATCTAAAAGGACCATAATGAAAATCATCAAAACCAAAAGTTCTTATGTCTCACTATATATCTATTTTGAAAATTTCTTCGGTTTAACTTTCAGTCTACAATTTATGTACCTTTCTATATGAAACTAGACGAATATCCACACGTTCCGTGAAATAAAATTAAGCAGTTAAACTTTTGGAGATTATATATTATTGAAAATATTTATGTCATTTATATCAACTATAAAATGATAATTATTATATTTAGTTAATTTAAAATTATAATTAATTTGAACAATAGATAAATAACACTTATTAAAATCAGATCATTTAATGGTCTCTTCTCATGTGTATAAAAATAGTTATATTTCTCAACTATTTTAATTAACAACTGTTATGATTTGTTAATTTTAAATTTTTTTGACGATATTTTAATTTCATTATGATGATCACTTAAATTATCAACCACTATTTGTATAAAGTAACATAATTTAATTTATAACTTTATGTTATTTATAATAATTAATTTAAAAACAAATTAATTGAATTTTAGTTATTTAAAAAAATAGTTTTTTGACATCTTTTAGTTAATTCGATTTTTAGATTTAGGTTCTTTTATATTTATTGTATTTAATATTTTACTTAAAACTCTTTTAAAAATTATGTTGATTTTTTTAAAACTTTATTTGATATTTCACTTTAGGTTTTAAATGTTACACTATATATTTAAGTTTATTTTATATATTAATTTAGGTTATGTGTTTAATATTATATTAAAGTTAATAACTTAAGTATATCATACTGATAATTCAAGAAGTCTTCCATTTATGATAATGTTTATGAGTATCAACATATTTAAGTTAATAAAAGTATATTATAAGGAAATACGAAGAGTTGGGTATTTCAAATGGATACGGTGAAAGGAAAATGTTTCTTTTAAAATATAATATGATGATATGATATGAGCAAAAAAAAATCCAAAATTAGTCAAAAAAAACCCCATCAAATATAGCCGATGAAGTTCAAAAAACTTAAGAAATATACACACCCAAAAAATAGTTAAATTTGAAAAGTATATAGTGACAACATTGAGAAATTGTTACCTTTTAGGAAAGCTTGCAAAGAAAACAAAGACCAAAATAAAAGAAACAAACCCTTGGCTTCCAAAAAAACCATTAGCAAGCTTTGAGGATCATTGTTCCACTCATGTAGGATTCAAATTTGTTCAAGTTCATAAAAAAGGTTGGTTACACCATAGTGCACTACATAGCTATTACCCTTTCTCTCCACCAACCTTCCTAACCACCATCCATCATTATACAGTGTGTCGACTATATCTCCTTCCTCCAAGTTCACCATCACCTTTGGAGGACATGGGCCGAGCTGATCAAGTTGCGTTACTTTTTGCAAGAACACTCTATTCTTCCTTAAAATAGTGTCAAAATTGACCACGTACCTGTTTTCATCCATTCTTGAAACCACTCTAGAGTAGTTAGGACCCTTTGAAGCCTTATTCGTTCATCATTACCTTTACCTTGTCTCCAACTTGAAAAACCATTGTGGCAGGGTGCTAAAATATTGAAATATATTTATGGGAAGTACAACATATCCTTATATAGCAAAAGGAGGTTGAAACATTCTTTGTTTTATGAGACATCATTAATTTCTCTGTAAATCTTTAATAGAAAATATCCAAGTTTTAGTCTTCAAATGTTTTTTAATGACCAATTTCACTTCTCTAAGCGGCATATCTCTGATAAATTACTTCTAGAATAATAATAATGATCATGATTTGACGATAATCTTATCAAGATTTAGACTGTATGTCTTTTAACCTCTACTATCCCTAGAAGCATGTTAATGTATGTGACTAAATCTCTCTAAGTATATCATCAGTAAGACCATCTGATGAGATGACATTGAATTATCCATTCATGCTCATTATCTAGCATCGCCTAAACCTTCAGGGTGAGACCGAATGGTCACTATCAGAATATTGTTATGTGGCTCTGGTGTTTCCTTTATGATTAAATGTTCCTATCCAGGCCCTATCTATGGAAGCGTGCTCTTCGTATGTAATAATTCTAATGTTTTGATGAAACATCGCACATAACCCATGGCTCACACTAATAACATTGTCTATTGCTTGAGAAACTTGCCAGATCCTTAAAGACAAAGGGTTGCTTCTATGTATATGACAATGTTTATTAATACCATAGATTTGGTGTGACACACCCTGCACTTGGTATCTATGACCTCGTTTGTTGTCACCATAGACTGGGGTATGATACTGAAAACCTTTTCCTTGGTGTCCATGATCTTCCTTCTAAAACATAGGTACGTGAGACACACCCAACACTTGGTGTCCCCGACCTTTCTATTGCCACCATAGATTGGGTATGACAATAGCCATCCTTTACTGGCAAAGGTATCTTATAGTAATAGTGTGATCACTCCCTGATGCTCTTTTAAAATTTCGCCTGCAATCTCATATGTTGTTACCCCACTCGTTAATATTGTCTCAGTACAATGTTGAAAAATCAAATATGTTACAACTATTTCTCCTCCAACTCTCCAAGTTTAGGAAAAGGAATGTGATGATTAGTTTTAGAGTTACGAGAATGCCGACTAATTTTTCTAACATCATCATTACCCTGTGTCAACAAATTTCAAAATCGTTTAAATTCCTTCCCATATATAAACCTATTTCCTTTCCCTTTAATCTCCTTTACGAACATCCAAAAACCCTTCCTTCAGAAAATCCACAAATTACTCTTTGCAAAAACCCTAATCCTTAAGAACTTTGTCCATGGCTCCTCCAAATACTTCCATCGTAACCAATGCCACAAATGTGTGTGCTTAAGATGTCATCCTTATCAAATACAAGAACAAAGGCCTTGAGGAGTTCATTCAGTTTCTTGACTATCATCTACTTTGATATGATCTCTCTGAGTATCCA